TAAACCATATAATAAGACCCAGGTATTATGTAAGACTTTCCTTTGAGGAGACCCCCCCCCAGGCCCTACGAAGTCAGACTTTTTTCTCTGATTTGCACAAAAAACTCTGATATTTCAGACTTTTTTTCCAGTGTACTCTGTTAAAATCAGACTTTTTTGGGCCCAAACTCTGTAATTTTCAGACTTTTTTTAAGGCTAACTCTGAGAGTTCAGAGTTTTCTGAGAGTGTACTCTGATCATTCAGAGTACAAACGCGTCCTTGACTGGTGATTTGGACTTACGGGTCACAACAGATTCGCAATGTCGACGCAAAATCGCCTTGACACAGCAAATCCGAGCCTTACAGCACAAGATTTTCGCCCAATCATAGCAAAATCGCCCTGACACAACATATTTGCGCTGTCAGAGCACAACACTTTTCGACCAATCACAGAAAACTCGCCATGACATTGCAGATTCGCTCTTTCGCACCACAAGATTCGCCCTGACACATATATTCGCCCTGTCAGAGCATGTTTTATCAGAAATCCCCTTAGTGTTGTGTGTTTCGATAGCAGATGAATGAAACATTGATTACATTCCGATGAAACATTGAATACATTGTTTTTGAATGATCAGACATTTTTTTTAGGACACTCTGAAATTTCAGCCTTTTTTTTATACCAACTCTGAGATTTTCAGACTAAAATTGTGTACTAGTCTGACGAATCAGACAGGTCAAAAACGAATCTAAGGGCCTGCCTCCCCCCCCCCATTTTTTCCCAGTGGTTTTCATAATACCCTAGGGTGTTTTATCCGGGAGAATACGGTATGTGAGAACAAGATAAGTGGATAATAACAAATAGATACCGGTACAAGCTTTTACCGTATATGATTACAAGGAATACGAAAGGTTAAACTAAATGTAACTGCTGTTGCGGTTCGATATAGCGGCGACTCGGGTAACTGCTCAATATCGAGTCAGATATGTGTTCTTGCGGTCGCACTGCCTTCGGCGAGTCAAAGGTCGCTGACCTTAGACCTTCACTCAACTTCTTGCTGTTGTCTTTCTGTCAACCGCTTTGGTTGACTCGATTTTGCTTCACTTAAGTTTCCTTCGCTTTCATTGTAGTGCTCGACACATCAGTTTGCTTCGCTTTTATTGTAGTGCTCGACACATCAGAAGCGCAAACTATATGTTTCCAACAAAGCTTGTGTAACTGTACACCCCCGACCCACCCTAACAGCACCTACCAGTCAAACATGGAAGTATATCCAGGCTACGGTAATTTTATATTTATCTATAGATTGAGAAAGCTTGCTTTCTGATTATTGCAAGGCAACGTGCTTCATTTTAATTGGGTAATTACAACATTCTCGTCCAACTTACACATTACATAAACATCAACTAGGGGTGGGCGGGGGGGAAGCAGAACTGAAAAGTTCCGAAATGAAGACGTGGGTGGAGGCTAAATAGCCTCCAACCCTCGTTATGTACTCGGGAAGAGGCTTTCGCAGTTGCCTTGCTTCACTACAGTCAGCTGCGCTTTCACAATCTTTATTTTTAGAAAGTGTTTCACACTTTCAAAAAATGTCATATTGAGAAAGCTTGCTTTCTGATTATTGCAAGGCAACGTGCTTCATTTTAATTGGGCCTTCTGAGACATGTGCGTGCGTGGGCTAAGCGTAGATTGCGAAGCCGGTTGATGGCGATGTCCAGTGATATCAGTTGTTGGTGCAGGTCGTTGCATTCCCTGTCGACGTGGTTATGCGAGTTGCTCCCTCCTTTGGTAGATGTATGTGCCCTTCGTTGTTGGTGGAGAGGGGGCCCGTGGTTTAGAATGATTGTTATGCTGGCATGCGCGGTGGGGAAGATGGTTGTTGAAGACGGCCCATGTGTCAGTGATGAAGCTCCCAGTGTTGTGCGTAGACTGGTGCCGCGATTTTGATGTTGTTTGGTCGATGACGCGGCGTAGGGTCTTGGACTAGTGACGTGTTATAAAAAATCAATGCTTTAGTTTGAAACTTTCATATTTGCGATTGGCCCCGAGTACGAGATCTTTAGCTTGAGGAACTAAGGGGGGCCCAGAATAAGGTGTGTCCGTAGGGAAGTGGCTGATATTGAAATATGATGCTTGCGGGACTGGTGCGGTATGCATCATTTGTATCATGTTGAGATCCGAAAGGGTGTGGGTTTGTAAGAAAAATGTCGCATAACAAAACCTCCAGCCATGCGTTACTGGCCCATCAGTTTTTCGTCTTTTGGCATGTCTGGTGCTTGTCTCTTGGCCTATCGGTTGCTCGTCTCTTGACCTATCGGTTGCTCGTCTCATGACCTATCAGTTGCTCGTCTCGTGGCACATCAGTTGCTCGTCTCGTCGCCCATCAGCTACTCATCTCGTGGGCTATTAGTTGCTTGTCCATTAACCCATCAATTGCTACTCCCTTGGCCCATCGGTTGCTCGTCTCGTGGCCCATCGGTTGCTTGTCTCGTGGCCCATCGGTTGCTCGTCTCGTGGCCCATCGGTTGCTCGTCTCTTGGCCTATCGATTGCGCGCCTCTTGGCGCATAGGTTGCTCGTATCGTGGCCCATCGGCTGTTCGTCTCGTGCCCTTCGGTTGCTGGCCCGTTGGCCTATCGGTGGGCCATCGGCCGCTCATCTCGTGGCCCATCGGTTGCTCGTCTCGTGGCCCATTGGTTGCTCGTATCGTGGGCCATCGGTTGCTCGTCTCATGGCCCATCGGTTGCTCGTCTCGTGGCCCATCGGTTGCTCGACTCCTGGCCCATCAGTTGCTCGTCTCATGGCCCATCGGTTGCTCCTCTCTATCCTGGACCGTATATGATGGTTGCCCAAGAAAAACGACAAGAGGTGCATTGGCTGCCCTGCCACACCATGTTACCGATGTCTCGTAGCTCCAGTCAACAATTATATTGTCGAAGCGTAACGAGTAACGGTAGTGGCAGGTAAATTACCTTGACATTCGGTACATGTTTTACTTTCCCCTCTATTGTTCGGAAGGTGTGACGAAATAAGTCATCGTACTAGTGAATAATGGTTGCATGACACTCTCTCCTTCCTCGTTGTGCAGTGTAGGTGAGTGATAAAGTAGGATCCCATGGATGTCCTTACTACCGGTACGGTAGTTGCACTCTACCAACTTTACCAAAGTCAGTCAACTAATTGTTTGTGGCTTCGACATCCGATTAGGACCAAAATTGCTCCATTTTTTTTTTTCACTATTATCATATTGTACACATAATGGCCAATGATACTACGGATCCACATACACAATAATTATGTAACCCACATACATAATTCCTCATATTGCGAGTCCGCAAATCCTCCCTCCCTAAGAAGGTGGCCCTTTGGCCAACATACTTAGAACCTGTCCACACCCCTCTTGAAAATGTTTTTTTTTGTTTTTTTTTTTGTTTTTTTTTTTTTTGCCAAATATCGAAGTTCACGGACCTCGGTCCCCTTCCCCCCCCTGGGGGCGGCTCTCAGGCCAACTTGGGGACCCCCGGTCCCCTTCCCCCCCTGGGGGCGGCTCTCAGGCCAACTGTGGGGACCCTCGGTCCCTTCCCCCCCTGGGGGCGGCTCTCAGGCCAACTGTGGGGACCCTCAGTCCCTTCCCCCCCTGGGGGCGGCTCTCAGGCCAACTTTGGGGACCCTCGGTCCCTTCCCCCCCTGGGGGCGGCTCTCAGGCCAACTGTGGGGACTCTCGGTCCCTTCCCCCCCTGGGGGCGGCTCTCAGGCCAACTGTGGGGACCCTCGGTCCCTTCCCCCCCTGGGGGCGGCTCTCAGGCCAACTTGCGGACCCTCGGTCCCTTCCCCCCTAGGGGCGGCCCGGCCCCTCCTTTCGATGTGCGTGCAGTTGATCCCGTCGTCATTGCAATTTTTTTTCCGCGCGACTTTAATCAACGGCTTTCCATCTTGTGCCGGTTTTTCTGCCATCAAGAGAGTCAAGGGGGTATCGAGATTTATAGGCAATGAGAGTAAAAATTAGAACTGGAAGAAGAAGACGAAGAAAGAAAGGAAAAATAAATGAAAAGAAGTTGCAACGATTTATATGCAACAGCGAAATAATTGGTGAGGTGACATGGGGTGCTCCACTGGGCCAGTCAAACGCCTTAGGCGCGGCAGTAGCAGTTTCTTGACTGCCGCGCCACTGGCCATTTCGTCCATGGCGATTTCGCCACTGGTGCAAATGGCCATTTCGCCACAGACGCGCGCCACTGGCGCAAGTGGCGATTTCGCCACACCCTCGCGCCAGTGGCACAAGTGGCGATTTTGCCACACGCGCGCGCCAGTGGCGCACGTGGCGATTTCGCCACACACGCGCGCCAGTGGCGCAAGTGGCGATTTCGCCAGACACGCGCGCCACTGGCGCAAGTGACGATTTCGTCACTAGCGCACGCCACTGGCGCACGTGGCGATTTCGTCACTGATGCGCCAGTGGCCGTTGCTTCATGCGCACTTATTTCTCAGTTGCGCGTACGCCAAGTGCATCGCGGGCGCAATGCTGTACCCTCCGCAGTTGACGCACGCAGTAGCTAATGTATAACTACGCTGCTGCAGCACTTGTCCTAGCGTTGCCTCTGTGCTTCTAGAGTGAGAATTAAGAAAATTTGAGAACGGAAGTGGTTGGACGAGAATGAAGCAGAACTGAAAAGTTCCGAAATGAAGACGTGGGTGGAGGCTAAATAGCCTCCAACCCTCGTTATGTACTCGGGAAGAGGCTTTCGCAGTTGCCTTGCTTCACTACAGTCAGCTGCGCTTTCACAATCTTTATTTTTAGAAAGTGTTTCACACTTTCAAAAAATGTCATTTTTGCACACTAAGCAATTCACTTAGGATTTCTGTCTGCATCTCCTTGGCAGCTGAACACTCAACCCAACCCAATTCCCCAACGGTTCAGCCAACTCAGTCCCCTCCCAAGCACAATGTTCCCTGTGCAAACTCTGACAATCCCAAAACTTTCTCTCCGGTATTTGGTGCATCTCAAAAGATTTGTGATGAGTCAATTGCCTTCCTCTCCTCCCTGCGAGCTGAGATCCCTCGCGAGTGCAAGCAGGCCGGCAGCAGCGAAGGCAGAGAGAAGGCATGAGCCGTAGCCCATGGCAAGGAGGGCACCGCGCAGAGACTGGTGGGGCGAGGCGTGGTAGGTGGGGAGGAGAGAGAGGAAGGCGGGGGACATAAGGTTGCGGGAGAGTGTTGAAGGCGAAGGCATGAGCCGTAGCCCATGGCAAGGAGGGCACCACGCAGAGACTGGTGGTGAGACCAGGGAGGGGAGGGGAAGAGGGGGGGGGGGGGGGGGGGGGGGAGGGGGGAGATGGGGGGGGGGGGGGGAGGGGGAGATGGGGGGTGGGAGTGATGAAGGCAGAGAGGGAGGCTGGAGCCATCGCCCACGGCGAGCAGCGCGAGTGTGAGGGCCTTGTCATTGGCAGGAGCACGAGAGTGAGCGCGAGTGTGAGCGCCTTGTCATTGGCACATGCCAGGGAGCTCTTGCTGACTGCCTGCCATTCACCACCTCTCACACACTGCACCCACCAGGGAGAGTGCGGTTTCTGAGACGACTCACGAATCATCCCCAGCTCACTCACGAGTGCATTGGCAGATTCGTGAGTACAAGGGCGTTGTATTTGGCCGTACAACGCCCTCGTACTGCCAATGCCAGAGAGGGCATGTGCCAGAGAGGGCAAATGCCAGAGAGGGCATATGCCAGAGAGGGCAAATGCCAGAGAGGGCAAATGCCAGAGAGGGCATATGCCAGAGAGGGCACATGCCAGAGAGGGCATATGCCAGAGAGGGCATGTGCCAGAGAGGGCAAATGCCAGAGAGGGCATATGCCAGAGAGGGCAAATTCCAGAGAGGGCATATGCCAGAGAGGGCATATGCCAGAGAGCTTTCGTAGACTGCCTGTAGCCCTGACACCAGCTGCCAGCTCACCGCCAGTCACTGGGTGAACTGCCTTGAACCTACCAAACAGGTGCGCTGCACTCACGAGTGCGAGTGTGAGAGCCTTGTCGTTGGCATAGGCGAGCGAGCTCTCGTCCACTGCCTGTAGCCCTGACACTAGCTGCCAGCTCACCACTCTGTGCGGGGGATAAGGGAGATGGGGGGTGGGGTAGAGGCGGAGATGTGAGAGGCGCGAATTGGGGGGTATGGCGAATAAAAATGAGGAAAGAAGGAGGGAAATCATGAGAGGATGGGGTAGGAGCTGTCGAAAGGGAAAAGGTGGGCTGGGGAGGCCTTATTTCCATCAACTCTTGTTGTTTAGGACAGAGAAACAAACTCCATGAAATGATGGCGGAGATGTGAGAGGCTTGAATTGGGGGGCATGGCGAATAAAAATGTGGAAAGAAGTAGGAAAATCATGAGAGGATGGGGTACTAGCGTGGAGAGAGGGTGCGTTTTGTGAGAGAGAAACACTTGTGATTCAAGGAAAAGACTGGTAACGACATAAAAGTTCATGCGAAAGGTCGTGCGAGAAAAGAGGCCGGGAGACTCACGAAAAGGCAACAGCAACAGCCGCGCCTGTGAGCGCCTTGGATGGTGTGACGTCCACTGTGAGGGGACCGAGCTGGTGAGAGGAAAAGAGGGAGGGAGGGTGGGGGAAGGGCAGAAAGAGTATAGAGCAGCAGCAGCAGCAGCAGCAGCAGCAGCAGCAGCAGCAGCAGCAGCAGCAGCAGCAACAGCAACAGCAACAGTCGCGAGTGTGAGGGCCTTGGATGGAGTGACGTCCACTGTGAGAGGACCGAGCTGGTGAGAGGAAGAGAGGAAGAGAGGAGGGAGGGTGGGGAGGAAGGGAACAGATTGATATACAGGGTGCTTGAGGTTCCAAGGCAGCAGCAACGGCAGCAGCAACGGCAGCAGCAGCGGCAGCAGCAACGGCAGCAGCAACGGCAGCAGCAGCGGCAGCAGCAGCGGCAGCAGCAGCGGCTGTAAGTGCCTTGGATGGCGTGACATTCCTTGGATGGCGTGACATTCCTTGGATGGCGTGACATTCCTTAGATGGCGTGACATTCCTTAGATGGCGTGACATTCACTGTGAGGGGACCGAGCTGGTGAGCGGGCGAGGGAGAGGAAGGGAGGAAGGAGGGAGGGGAGGGGTTGCGACACTCTTTTTTGCACTTAGCAACGCACCTGAAATGTTTAACGAGTTCAGTCGTTTAGCACTAAGCAGCAGAACGCCCACCTTGAAGGTCTTAACAGGGTCGAAATTGGAGGCACCGTCATCAGTGCACCCCGCTGCCACTGCCTCCCCTGCTGCTGCCATTGCCTTGCCGAGCTATTTCAAGGGGAGGGGATTAAAAAAAAAAAAAAGCAGATGGGGGAATTTTAGACGCCTCTGAAGTTGAGAATGGGGGACAAGTTTGTCAACCAAAGGGAATGATGGTTGAAGAAAGGCAAACGGAACGGGATAAGTTCAATTGGGGGACGGAAGGAAGGATTGGAGGGGAAACGGGAGAGAAGGTGAGCTTAGGGAGGGAAAATGGCAGACCTGGATGATCCTTTCCCTTGTGCGTACACACCCCCATTCCTATGACCCTTGTGTTCGCTGCCGTTTTCACTGACTCAAAGGTCCCATCTTGCCTCAAAGGCCCCTTCTCGCCTCACCTGAGCAGCCTTGCCCTGGGCGTACGCCCCCATGCCTGTGACCCTCCTGCCTGCTGTGCTTCCCTGAATCAACGCCCCCCTCTCTCTCTTCTCGCTCCTCTCTCCCCTCACTGGTCCCCTCATCGCCTCACCTGAGCAGCCTTGCCCTGGGCGTACGCCCCCATGCCTGTGACCCTCCTGCCTGCTGCTCGCAACCTCCTGCCAAGCACTGTGAGGAGCGATGGTGCAAAGAAGGGAGACAGAGGTATATGAAAGAGATTTCGGATGACAGAGGTGATTTTCTTACAATTAGCTTGAAACCACTTGTGAAAAGTCCCAAAAGTGATTATCTTACTCTTAGCTTGGATACTCGCTGTTTGGATACTATTAGCTTGGATACTATTTGTTTGGATACTAATAGCTTGGATACTAATTGTTTGGATACGATTAGCTTGGATACTAATTGTTTGGATACTATTAGCTTGGATACTAATTGTTTGGATACTATTTTCTTGAATAGTATCCAGCGACCCCTCTGACCATCAACTCCCTCCGCTTCTCTCCATTTTTCCCTCCCCATCCCCATCCCCTGCCCCTGCCCCTGCCCATACCTCTAGCCCTCCCTAATCCTCCCTTCTGACCCTTCCAAAATCCTCCCTCCGCACCACACCATCATTTACCTGCCCGTTCTCTCCCTCCAGGGGGAAGCTTCGCAGCAGCATCCTTGAGCCCAGCAACAGCAGCGGCGGCAGCGGCAGGAGCGCCCTCTGAAGCCGTCAGCGCGGCTGCAAGGGCGGAGAGGGCTGATGACGCTGCTGGGCCGCACTGGGTGAATAAGGGATGGGGTTGGGGGGCAGCAAGAGGGTATGAAGGCTTAACAAAGCAGCAGCAGGAAGGGCGCCTGAAGTCATCAGCGCGGCTGAAAGGGCGGAGAGTGCCGCTGACACTGCTGGGCCGCACTGGGTGAAACGATAGGAGGAGAGGAGGGAAGGGAAAGCAGAGGGCAGGACAGGGGGTTATGGGAAGACACGTCATGGCAGCAGCAAGCGCGCCCTCTGAAGCCATAAGGGCGGAGAGATGCTGACATTGCTGGTTGGGGGCGGAGAGATGCTGACTCTGCTGGTTGCGGGTGAGGGGAAGGGGAGTGGGAGGGAGGGAGAGGGGGAGGACAAGGGAGAAGCCGTGAGGGTGGCTGTGATGTGAGAGCGGAGATAGCTGCTGACACTGCTGGGTTGCACTGGGAGAAGCAGGAAGAGGGATATGAACAGGAGGGAGAGAGAGGGAGGAGGGGGAAGGAGTGAAACTAAAGATGGGAGAGAGGAAGCAAGGAGTTTGAGGGCTGCTGTTTGCCACACAGTCCTCTTTTTGAGACACCCTGTATATGAAGTGTCACGCAGCCCTCTTCCATCGTTTCAAAGCGCTTAAGGGAAATGAACTGCCACACAAACACGTGTAATGAGGTTATCTTTGAGGCGTCTAAAACAATAACCTCATTACACGCGGCTCCCATAGTTTCAAAGCGCTCAAGAGAAACGAACTGCCCACACAAACAACCCTCTTCCCCGCCTCAGCACTGCCGTTCAGGAGTTTCGGCTCAATCGTCCCGCCCCCCTCTTTTGAGACACCTCAAAATTAGCCCGCCTCAGCACCGCCACACAAATTAGCCCGCCTCAGCACCGCCACACAAATTAGCCCGCCTCGCCTCAGCACCGCCACACAAATTAGCCCGCCTCAGCACCGCCACACAAATTAGCCCGCCTCAGCACCGCCACACAAATTAGCCCGCCTCAGCACCGCCACACAAATTAGCCCGCCTCAGCACCGCCACACAAATTAGCCCGCCTCAGCACCGCCACACAAATTAGCCCGCCTCAGCACCGCCACACAAATTAGCCCGCCTCAGCACCGCCACACAAATTAGCCCGCCTCAGCACCGCCACACAAATTAGCCCGCCTCAGCACCGCCACACAAATTAGCCCGCCTCAGCACCGCCACACAAATTAGCCCGCCTCAGCACCGCCACACAAATTAGCCCGCCTCAGCACCGCCACACAAATTAGCCCGCCTCAGCACCGCCACACAAATTAGCCCGCCTCAGCACCGCCACACAAATTAGCCCGCCTCAGCACCGCCACACAAATTAGCCCGCCTCAGCACCGCCACACAAATTAGCCCGCCTCAGCACCGCCACACAAATTAGCCCGCCTCAGCACCGCCACACAAATTAGCCCGCCTCAGCACCGCCACACAAATTAGCCCGCCTCAGCACCGCCACACAAATTAGCCCGCCTCAGCACCGCCACACAAATTAGCCCGCCTCAGCACCGCCACACAAATTAGCCCGCCTCAGCACCGCCACACAAATTAGCCCGCCTCAGCACCGCCACACAAATTAGCCCGCCTCAGCACCGCCACACAAATTAGCCCGCCTCAGCACCGCCACACAAATTAGCCCGCCTCAGCACCGCCACACAAATTAGCCCGCCTCAGCACCGCCACACAAATTAGCCCGCCTCAGCACCGCCACACAAATTAGCCCGCCTCAGCACCGCCACACAAATTAGCCCGCCTCAGCACCGCCACACAAATTAGCCCGCCTCAGCACCGCCACACAAATTAGCCCGCCTCAGCACCGCCACACAAATTAGCCCGCCTCAGCACCGCCACACAAATTAGCCCGCCTCAGCACCGCCACACAAATTAGCCCGCCTCAGCACCGCCACACAAATTAGCCCGCCTCAGCACCGCCACACAAATTAGCCCGCCTCAGCACCGCCACACAAATTAGCCCGCCTCAGCACCGCCACACAAATTAGCCCGCCTCAGCACCGCCACACAAATTAGCCCGCCTCAGCACCGCCACACAAATTAGCCCGCCTCAGCACCGCCATTAAGGGCCTTTCGGCTCAATCGCCCCCCTCTTTGCCACCCCCCTCCCCTACACCCCGCCATCCCCTTACCCCTCGCTATCCCACTCCCCTCCTCCCTCCAGCGAGCCTCCGCAGATACCAGCCGCAGTCAACGAGCTGCCAGCATGACTTTGTGTCGACTAAGTGCGTTGGGAATTCTCAAAAGACCGCCATCGCTGTTGGGAATCGACTTTTGAGTCGACTCTAAAGGAATTCTCAAAAGACCGCCAGCGCTGTTGAGGTGACTTTTGAGTCGACTCAAGAGTCCGCCAGGGCTGTTGAGAATTCTCAATAGGAAGCGATCCAGGGAGGTGAGGGAAGAGTCCGCAGATACCAGCCGCAGTCAACAAGCCACCCCGCCAGCAAAAGGCAGGGCCAATCCTCGCCCTGTCTTTGGCACCCTCCTTCCCCCTCATCCTGACTTCTCTTCCCATTCCCCCACCTCCCATTCCCCCACCTCCCATTCCCCCACCTCCCATTCCCCCACCTCCCATTCCCCCACCTCCCATTTCCCCACCTCCCGTCCCTCCTCCCTCCCTCCCCTCCGCCCCTCTTCCCTCTCCGGCCCCTGGTCGTTCCACCTCCCTTGCACCTCTGCTGACAAGATTTACATTCGTCAAACCTCTTCCTGTCTTCCCTCCCCGTCCCCCCCACCGCTCCTATCCCTCCTCCCCACCGAGTTCCTCCCCTGCCCCGCCCCTGTTCTCCCCCTCCCGCCACCCACGCACCTCTGCCAGCACATTTCCGTTGGTGAGATCAAATACTGCGTCCTCGAGCTGATGGGAAAGAGGGGGGGGAGGAGGAAGAGAAGGAGGGGAGGAGGGAGAGAAGGAGGGGAGGAGGGAGAGAAGGAGGGGAGGAGGGAGAAAGGGAGGGGAGGAGGGAGAAAGGGAGGGGAGGAGGGAGAGAAGGAGGGGAGGAGGGAGAGAAGGAGGGGAGGAGGGAGAAAGGGAGGGGAGGAGAGAGAAAGGGAGGGGAGGAGGGAGAAAGGGAGGGGAGGAGGGAGAAAAGGTGACTCATTTGAGGCGGCACTTCCACTGGTAAGATCAAATACCGCACTTTCGAGCTGGTGGGAAAGCGCAGAGGAGCGGGTGAGGTGGGGGGGAGGAGAGGGGAGAGACGGGGCTAACGGGGGGGCGAGGGCATGGGGGGGAGATGAGACCATGGGGGCATGGGGAGGAGGTTGGGGCATGGGGGGAAGATGGGGGCATGAGGGGGAGATGGGGGCATGGGGGGAAGACGCATACTGATGACGTAGCTGATCCGCTCCCGTCTTCCCCCCTCCCCCACAACTCATCACCCTTTTCCCCCATTCACCCCACTTCTGTCCCCTCCGCCCCGCCCACTCCTCTGCCCCTTCTCCCCACCCGTGACTTTTCATGACGATCTTCACCTCCACTTGTAGATCCTCCCGCTACACTCACATCCACTTAAAAGCCCCCCCCCCCCCCCCCCCCCCCCCCTACACTCACATCCACTTAAAAGCCCCAGCCCCCGCCCCCTACACTCACATCCACTTGGAGGTCCCGAGGGAGCGAGGAGAAGAAGTCCGCGTCTAGGGACGCGAAGGAGGACTGGCGGAAGGGGGAAAAGGGGGAAAAGGGGGAAAAGGGGGAAAAGTGGGGAAGGGAGGAAGGGGGAAGGAGGGGGGAGGGGGAAGCGAGGTCCTTAGAGAGCGAGGAGAAGAAGTCCGCATCTAGGAACGCGAGGGACGACTGGGGGAAGGGGGGGAAAGGGGAGAGGGAAATGGAGGGAGGGGGAAGCGGAGGGGGAGGGGGAAGGGGAGGGAGAGAGTTGCGCGGACAGGGGCTGATGATAGGCAGAGGGAAATGGAGGGAGGGGGAAGCAGAGGATAATCAGAATTCTCAAAAGAGTTGCGCGGACAGGGGCTGAGGAAAGGCGGGAGGTTGGTGGGACGCGACGGACGGGTGGGGGGATTGGGGGGCCGCGGACGGCACGTGGGAGAACGGGGGAGATCGCGGGGGGGAGGAGGGCGCGGCTTAGAGGACGGGCGCGCGGGGAAGGGGAAGCGGAAGTGCACTTGATAGGGTGCCTCTCAACGTATTTGCCCAACCTGTTCCCCTGCGTCCATTTCCCTGCGCCTGACCACCTGCGCCCGTTCCCCTGCGCCTGACCACCTGCGCCCGTTCCCCTGCGCCTGGCCACCTGCGCCCGTTCCCCTGCGCCTGACCACCTGCGCCCGTTCCCCTGCGCCTGACCACCTGCGCCCGTTCCCCTGCGCCTGCTCCGCGCGTACTCCGCGCCTAATCCTTGACTGTCCCCTTCGCCTCAGACCCACCTGTAGAGTTTTGAACGCAGCGCCTTCCGTGCTTGCCTGAGCTGGCAGCGACGCATCCGATTGGCTTGCGCTGCACCTGACGTCAGCACGGCGAAACCTGCCGCTAAATCCGTTCGAATCGATACAAAAAGCACGTCGAGATATACGCGGTAATAAATGAGCCGTTTGTATGCGGGCGCCATCACCACGAGCACTGACCCTTTTGAGCGCGGAAACGCAGGGTACGCCGCATGATGCGCCAAGTTTCGCACGCAGCGAAAGAGACAAATGCGGAGACATGGAGGAATAATTACTGCGAGTGAGGGATCGTAGTTAGGAAACAAGGTTCCGCACGGTGCTCAGGACAACGGTTATCGCGCCAAGATTTTATGAGCATGCGACTATCATGTCAGTGACACTTCAGGGAGGTCTCAGTACTGTGGGCTGCAGCCAAGCGCCAAAATTTTACAGAATCTCCCAGTTTTCGAATGCTCAGAGAATCTCCCAGTCTTCGAATGTTACAATAGTGTCGTCCAAGTGTTCGATTTTGGAATGTTCGACACGCTGGATTCGGGGTAATACAGCGTGGATGCAACCCGCGAAACGTGTCTGCGATTGGCTGCTTGCAGGAAGATATGACTGCTCATATACACAGCACAGCATTGAAATATGAAACTCGTTAAGGGAAACACGCCAAGCAGCATATCATTTTCCTTGGTGTTTACTCTATATACTCATCTAAATATCAGCACCCCCATAAGAGTCAAGCATACCTCAATCTATTGGACGAAACTCATACCGAGGGCCATGGCAATCAAAGCCCCAATAGAAATATTAATCACATTCACAATGTCATTTGTCATCTGCACATCGTCACAAACAAGCAATCACACGAATTAACTTGGACCATTTAAGTGATGAGAAATACGCTTGAGAACCTGCTAAATAGATTGCTCAAAACCATATGCACCTCAACGAAAACGTGCATGCACTTACCCATTCGTAACCGGGTTTGTCTTGGAGTGTAGCCCCCAAGTAACTCTCTCCTAAATTGGCAATTTGCGATGCCAGCACGCAGAAGAGAGCTCCAACAAGGCTCACCTGCAAGACATGCAAGAGGGTGAATGGGGTACAAGAATGCAAGACGCAGTGTGGAATGAGCTGTGAAGTCCATGCATAGCACAAATTGTAATGCCAGCATACAGAAGAGGGCTCCACCAGGGGTCACCATTAAGACTTGCGAAGAGACAGGGGGAGTGGAGGGAAGGGAGGAGAAGAGGGTGGAGCAGAACAATGGGTGGGAGCATCAATCTCGCACAGCAACAATGTGAGTTAATTTGGATACATAGTCTGCCTCATACATATGAATGCCCCTGTCTGCGTGCACGTATGGAGCAAGCGTGAGAAATCCCCTTCTGGAGACTCATTGGGCTCGCGAGCAGAGCAGCAGCGGACAGCACCACAGCAGTTGAATCTAGAAACGTCCCAACCATCGTAAGACACAGTATTGAAAAAAAATCTCAAAGGCGTCTTAAACCACAATCTTGAAATTCACCTGATTGGTGAGCAGAGCAGCAGCAGATAGCACCATAGCAGCCGCCAGACCTGCCAACGTTCCCTCAAGACTCACGGCGCCCTCTGTGCCCCTGGGAACTGGCTGGAAGGAAGTCACCAGGAAACTGCAAGGACATGGCCAGCCAGGGACACAAGAGGCTGATATAACTGCATGTAGCTACCACTTGTGCAATGTGCACTATAATCATCAAACTGTACATAATGGAACATTAACTGGGGCATACCACTGACCTGAAGCACCATGGCACTTAACTGACACAATTCTATTGACATGATCTATCTTCTCGGTAGTGATCATCATAGTTCCACTTGTTACACTCACGTGCGCTTGCCGAACGCCTTGCCGAACGCGCTCCCATCAGTGTCCGCCAATTTGGTAGCAAAGCTGGCGACATACCCCAGCCGCCACACCAGCACACTAGACACCACCACCCCCAGTTCTACAGCACACTAAGCTTCTCGGTATTGTTAGTCACAGCTGTTCGCATTACGCACTCACGTGCGCTTGCCGAACGCCTTGCCAATCTCGCTGCCAGCAGTGTCCGACAGCTTGGTAGCAAAGCTGGCCACATACCCCAGCTGCCACACCGCCACACTCGGCAGCACCACCCCCTCCATCCCCCCTCCAGCTCCCCCTCCTGCAGCAGCAATGGCTCCCAGGCAGCACACCACCGCAGCAGCAGCTGATCCCACCACGCTCCACGGTCCCCTCCTGCCGCTACGCTTTTCCGCTATCCCCTCCTGCTGCTTCTGCTTCAGCTTCACCTTGGTTACCAGTGTTCCCTGGCAGCAGATACACAGGGGTTCGAATAAAGGAGAAGCAATTAGAAGGTGTGTTTAGTTCCTTTGATTCTCCTGCTGCTTCTGATGCAGCTTCACCTTGGTCACTGTGCCCTTGAGAATGAAAGGGGCTTAACCTAGATCTAGCAAATAGCAGGGGCTTAACCTCCTTACAGTCACGTCATCTGAAGTATTACTCACGAGAATGAAGTACAGCCAGAGGATGAGGTAGCCTGGCCAGTAGAACGCCCTCCATACAGTCACACCGAGGAGAAACGCGGACAGCACCCCTGGCACGGTCAGCCCGGCGAGCAGTCCGGGCAGCAAGACGGCGAAAGTTGTGGTCGTGACAAGGACACCGGATTGCCACGTGGCAGGCTGGAGGAGAAAGGCATCAACGGTTGGCTGCACAAGGGTAGCGACAGAAGCGAGGAGCGCTGTAAAGCGGTCCATTTGAGATTTAGAATGGTTGGGTACAATAATATGCGAAACGTAGTTTAGGGACCCACCCCATGGAAACGATCATGCGAGTGACACTTCAGAGTGTGCGACTTCCGCTAAGTGTCATCATAAATCACCCATTTTTACTCTCGACTGTTGCAACCAGCCGACTCCTCTAACAGCCGTTACCAAATCATCTCGACTTGATATGGCATCTGGCCCAAGGCGGTTCAAGGAAAGTCCCCACCAGAAGGTGTGCACTGTGGGTAGCCGGCCAACGTCAGTTTCCTCCCAAGCGTTTAGGAGCAACGAAGTGACGGCAACCCACCTCCAATGGGTGTTCAACTTCAGCGTGGATGCTCGCTAACTCGGTTAGCGATTGGCTGTGTTTGCATGAAGATCCGACAGCTATGAATAGGAAATAATTGAAATAGCAAGCAGCATACCCATTTCTTGGTGTCTATTCTACTGAGGAGGCATCTAGAAGAAGGCACCTGGAGTGCATACATCAATCTATGGTGCGAAAATGGTGCCAAGGGCCATGGCTATCAAAGCCCCAGTACAAATATTGATCACATTCACAATGTCATTTGTCATCTGCACAAGAAGACACAATACAATCAATCAAGCACACAAATTAGCTTCGATGCACCGTTCAAGAACTGAGAATCACCCTTGAGAACCTGAGCTGAAAAGAATGTTCAGAACCATACACATATCAACAATAATGTGTCTGCTGCACTTACCCATTCGTAACCGGGTTTGTCTTGGAGTGTAGCCCCCACATAACTCTCTCCAAAATTTGCAATTTGTGAAGCTAGTATGCAGAAGAGGGCTCCAACCAGGCTCACCTGCAATACATGCAATGGGGATGAATGGTGCACAATAAAGCGAGGTGCAGTGTGCAATAAGATAGGGTGCCGCAATTTCTCGGCTTACACGCCACAAATCGTGATGCCAGTTTGCAAAAGATGGCTCCAACAGAGGTCACCTTCAAAACATGCAAAGAGATGGCAGGAAGGGAGGGGGGGAAGAGGGGGAGGAGAGGGGGTTGGAGGAGCTCAACAAAGGGGAGAACCAAACTTGTACGACAACATTGTCAGTTCATTTGGATGTATCATCTGCAACGTACATATAATCCTCCCGAGTGCGTGCATGTGTGCACGAACCTCAAACATCGCCTAACACCACAATCTTGAGATTCACCTGATTGGTGAGCAGAGCAGCAGCGGACAGCACCACAGCAGCCGCCAGACCTGCCAACGTTCCCTCAAGACTCACTGCGCCCTCTGTGCCCCTGGGAACTGGCTGGAAGGAAGTCACCAGGAAACTGCAAAGTGCAGGGCCAGCCAGGGACACAAAAGGTTGACACTGAGTGCAAATAACACTGGCATCATCTGCGCCGTGTGCACAATAATCACTACACTGTATTTTTGGGGACACTATTTGGGGCATACCACAGACCTCAGCACCACAGTACTTACCGCCTGTTACGCACAGTACGCTAATTCGAGAAACATGAAATAGCTTCTCGATATCGTTTATCACCAATTCCTGTCATTACACTCACGTGCGCTTGCCAAATGCCTTGCCAATCTCACTTCCAGCAGTGTCCGACAGTTTGGTAGCAAAGCTGGCGACATAACCCAGCTGCCACACCGCCACACTCGGCAGCACCACCCCCTCCATCCCCACTCCAGCTCCCCCTCCTGCAGCAGCAATGGCTCCCAGGCAGCACACCACTGCAGCAGCTGCTGATCCCACCACGCTCCATGGCCCCCGCCGCCCGCTCCGCTTCTCTGCTATCCCCTCCTGCTGCTTCTGCTTCAGCTTCACCTTGGTTACCAGTGTTCCCTGGGAGCAGGAAAACAGGGTTTGAGAATATGAGAGGCAGTGAAAAGCGGAGCTTTGTCCCTTAATGACAATCCTGCTGCTTCTGGTGCAGCTTCAGTTTGGTTACCACTGTGTCCTGGGAGCAGAAAACCAGGGGTTCGAGACAAGGAGCGGCAGCGGGAAGAGGCGTTTTGCTCCTTCAAGTCCATCCTGCAACGTTACCCTGGTCGCTGTGCTCTTGAGGAAAAGGAAAATTAATGGATATGTACAGAAAAAGAAATAGCAGCAGCATAACCTCCATACAGTCACAATATCTCAAGTCAAACGCACAAGAATGAAGTACAGGCAGACGATGAGGAAGCCCGGCCAGAAGAACGCCCTCCATACAGTCACACCCAGGAGAAACGCGGACATCACCCCTGGCACGGTCAGCCCGGCGAGCAGTCCGGGCAGCCCGACTGCGAAAATTGTGGACGTGACAAGGAGAGCGGATTGCCACGTGGCAGGCAGGAGGAGGAAGGCATCTACAATTGGCTGCACAGCGGTGGCGACAGAAGCGGGGATTGCTGTAGCGCGTACGGATAGGCGATTTTTGGAAAGCCGCGTGTGAGACCAATGGGGAGACGAAGACGAGGGATGTGAGTGGGAGAGAGAGGTGGAGAACGAAGGAGAGGCGAAGGAAGAGGAGAGCACGACCCGCGACTGACGGTGTTGCTTCAGGCTGAGAGCGACACGTGCACAGGAGGACGCGATTGACGGCGCTACCGACTGCGCATGAAGTGCGACGGGTCTAGGAGAAAACGCTAGGGTGGCGGAGCCGCGGGAAGCGCTGGCGGAGGAAACAGTCTGGACATTGGGTAAGGTTCCAGGTCGCTGCATCATCGCCGTCACCATGGTGACGTCAGCCCGTTAAGCGCAACAGAGTGGCTGGTGTAATATGGTTAGCCGATATTGATTCTCTAGCTGGTAGCTGGTGAAATTAGCTTTGCCAGAAACGACAGGCTTTGGGGAGTACTGGGACTGGGGGCTAAGTTTGATAGAAATTGGCGAACCAGCGGGAATATCGTAAAGGAAGGAGAAAGGCGTGACTGTGGCAGCGGGGTTGTCGAGAAGTGTATTGCAGCGAAAGTGACAACAGCGAAGGGAAAACGCAACGGAGAAACTGCAGCCTCGACAGCTTCTCTGACGGAACGGAAAAACCAAGAAGCTGAAAGAAACCGAAACAAATGTCACCAGCTCCGCGTACCGCGTCCTGAGGGCCTGGGAGTTTCTGGTCAGTGGACACCTGTCAGCCTTTCGCACACCTTACGGCGCCTCGAAGTTGTCATGCTTCAGTGAGCAGCTGAAGACGAAGCTGACGGAAGAGTAAATCGATATAGATTGCTTCGCTGAGATGTCCTTTTAGGGGAGAAACAATCAAGCACTGTAAAATTAATATAACTGTATTCTGGACAGGAGTAGGCCACACAGTTCGTTTTCTTGATTGGGCAGACTAGTCGTGCCAAGTCAACAAAACTACTCGGAGGAAGCCAATGATATCGTTCGTAAGACCGTCATTCGCGCCGTCGACTGCTGCCAACTCAACCCAGTGGCACCTTTCCGAGCTGGACTCGGATCTGGAAGCCGCTTTTGCTTTGGAGGAGCTCAGCAGCAGCAAGCCGCGTATTTCGCACGCGACTCGGTCATGCCAAGCTCGCAGCGGCTCGATGCTGACAATTCCCGCTGGGTACAAATGTGGCAAGATTTTGCCATTCAGAGCATCATCAGAGGTGACCAAGATATCTCGTTGCTGCTCGCTCATCCAGCCATCAGACCATTCAAGAAGCGCCTTTTCAACAACAACTTCATAAAAGCTATCATGGCTCGTCTTCAGCTACTAATTATATCCTCTCTACTTCTGCTGACGCTGTCAGCTGCAACTGATGACTTCTTCCCGACTGGCGTTGCAAGGCCTGCAACGTACAACCCTGGCAACAGGGCCACCAACGCACTTATTGACGCCCTTGAGGACGACTACTCAGCTTTTCTCTTCTTCTTCAAGCGCGCAGGTAATAAATTTCTCGCGCACACGTAACATCTACACGATTTTCCTACGTGACTCCTCTTTCTCTCTCGAAAGGTCTTGTTCATTATGCATATAAACTTTCTGAAACATATGGTCTTTATTTCAGGTTTGGACAAGGAGTTTCCGGACTTGCTGTGCAAGTACACGGTGACCATATTCGCGCCGACGAACGAGGCGTTCAAGTCGCTCGACAGCGACCTGAAGAAGAAGGTGAAGGAGGACAAGCTGCTGCTGCGGGAGCTCATGCTGCTGCATGTTGTCAAGGGCAAGAAGACATTCGCACGCCTCCTCGAGCAGGAACAAGGCCATCAAGTAAGAAAAGCTGCACCTGATAAACTCTCTCTGCGTTCTTTGGCTGTCAAAAACCGCCTTCTTCTAATTTATTGTTATATTTTAAAAAAACGTGCATTTATTTCCTACTGATGATTTTCTGTTACCTTTTCTGCCAGTATGAGTCCCCTGCTGCTCGCGGCCAAGCCAAGCTGGCCAAGCGCAGCGAGGAAGACGACAAGCCGTTCATCATCTCGGCCAGGCAGGGTAAGAACACAGCGACTGTTGTTGACGAAGACGTGTTCGTGAGCAAGAACTTGTCAGTGCAGGGGATAGACGAAGTCATCCTGCCACGCAAGCTGCACACGCCCCATAAGTTCGAGACTCTTGTCGAGTGCATGAATATTGTGAAGTGAAGAGGGAGCTTGGCCAATGCACCCCAAGTAGCGCAGGCAAGACAGGGACAAGCATCGTAGGGTGCATAATAAGAGAAAAACATGTCATCGTATGGTGTTTATCTAGGTAGGGCGGGTAGGGGAAGGGAAGGGGAGGGAGGAGGGGTTGGATGGGGGTTTGGAGGATGAGTGAAGTGACGTGGGTGAATTGGGCTTTAGGGTAGTATGCCTGCTTATATTATGTTATGCTTCCTAATGAGTTGCTCGGTTTGATGGTATGCTTGTGAGGGCGTAGTTTTGTATATAGCAATAATAATTGGGGTGCTGCATGTTTTACGGAAAATCTCCATAAAAAAATGGTACTCGCATGAAATGTACCAGTTCATTTACCAGTTCATTGAAGTCAAGTTAGAAAGGTATTCCAAGAGGGAAAGAATTCATATTTCCAAGGAATAATCACAAACATTGGAAGTGTACACAACACTGCGTCTGAATAGAAACGTATCGCATACTGATGAACTGAATGCATCAGCCACGCTCTTGGGGTTCCTTCGATATTATCTATCCTCCATTGGTTTGCGAAGTCTATTGCGAAATATCACACGGGTCGCACGTGCCACTGATCGGCGCGACTCGCGAACACACAACTCTCTTCCTGCGGCCCAATGGCCTCCGTAACCCTAACGACCACTGCGACGACGATGCGACACAGAGCGATATCGTCGGTACCGCATTGTTACGAATCGCATGCACAGGGCACGTCGAGCCGCTCCGCGTGCGCCTATCAGTCGCTTCCACGACAGCTCCGTCCATTCACGCATGGCGTCGTCAGCTCTCGAACCCTCCCTAGAGAAAACCTTCTGGTTCCAAGGCTAGTCGTTACAGCAGCCGTGGCAGCCGACAGGCTCGGCCCGGACGTGGACGAGGAGGCTCGGAGTGAGGTTCGGCGGCGGCAGGCTCGGCTGCTGTGGAACGTGGACGGTACGGAACGCGGCGCGAAGGCGGACTCAGAAAGGCGCGGCGAGATCGAGGAGGCGGTCGTTGACTTGGAACGACTTGGCGGGACTCCGTTGACCTCGGGATTGGATCGGCTGGACGGATGGTGGGAGCTCAAGTACAGTACCGCTGCTGACGTCACCGGCATTCTCATGGCTCCGTCGTCGTTTCCGCTGCCCATTCTACAGGTGCGGCTCCGTGCTCTCTGTTTTTGGGTTACATGACTCAATACCCCAAATGTCTCTCCCATTGTCACCCCCAAAACCACTCCACCCTCGCCCCCGCCTTCCCCTTCCCCCCTCCCGCCCTCTCCGACACTGCCTCCTCGCCTTTCTCTGCGCCCTTCCCCCCTTTCCCCCTCTCTCCCCCACACTGTCCTGATGGGGAAGGATTGAGTCCTGCAGCACTGAATCCCCCTTTTTCTCTTCCCTTACCCACGTGTACCTTAGCTTCTAGCACTGTCACCTCCCTCCTTCACCTCCCTCCCACGTGTACCTATCTTCTAGCACTGTCACCTCCCTCCTTCACCTCCCTCCCACGTGTACCTATCTTCTAGCACTGTCACCTCCCTCCTTCGCCTAACCCCCCTCGGTCCACCTGAGCCATATCTTCCACTGATACAACTCCCTTTCGCAATCCTACCTTACATTTCCAAGTGGGTCGTGTCCTGAACTGCTACATCTTCCTCCCCCCATATCTTCCCATTCTTCTCCTCCCCTTCGCGGCCCCTTCCTTGCATGTCCAGGTGTGCTGTATTTTCCAGCGCAACATCCCCCTCCCCCCTCTTTCCCCACCACTTCTCTCCTCCATCCCCTCCCCATTCCTTGCACGTCCAGGTGGGTCATGTCTTCCAGGACTAATCTTTCCCTTCTTTCCTCCCAACTCTCTCCCCTTTCCCGCTTTGAGACGTCTCTACTCTCTTCCCCTTCCCGTCCCCCTTCCTTACATGTCCAGGTGGGTCGTATCTTCCAGCGCTACATCTGTGCCGGGAGAACAGACGGAGGCACGGTGCAGAACGTGGTTCGGTGGAGCCTGCCGGGCCTGCAGGTATGGCAGTGAGGTATGGGTTTGGTATGGTAGGTGCAGGTATGGTAACAAGTTTTTCATGCAGTAGTACCTGTCAGCACCGCCAGTTCCCAAGGTATCAATTCTTCCTTCGGACTTTTATCTGAATTCTTCGTTTTCAGTCTTCCCATGCTTTCGATTTACCTTTCCCTTCCCTTCTCTCCTTTCATTCCTCTCGCGTTCTCCCCATCCTCTCCCCTCCCCGTCACAGGACAAGGAGGGCGCGTCGCTGATAGTGACGGCGCAGTGGTCGGGCCATCCCTTACCCCCCCTCCCCCTTCTTCCCCACTCCCTTCCCATCACAGGACAAGGAGGGCGCGTCGCTGATAGTGACGGCGGAGTTTGATGTGCGCAGCGGCCGTTCCATCCAGCTGCAGTTCGAGCGGGCGGCGGTGGGCGGCGTGAAGATCAACGAGCAGCTGCAGGCTCTGCTGGCGCCGGCTGCCCTGCCACGCACGCAGTTGTCACTAGATGTGAGAGACACGTGTATACATGCAGACAAGCATTCACATGGACAGAATGCATGCATGCATGCATGCAGACATACAGACATACATGCAGCTGCAGGCACTGTTGGTGCCGGCTGCTCTTCCCCCCACCCAGTTGTCTCTAGACGTGAGCGACACATGCATCCATGCATACATGCAGACGTGCAGATATACATGGATACATGCAGACATGCAGACATCCAGACATGCAGACATACATGCATACATGCAGACATGCAGACATACATGCATACATGCAGACATACATGCATACACGCATACATGGAGAGATTCATGCATACATACATGCATACACGCATATATGCATCATGCATACATGCACATTTGCAGACTTGCACTCAGTGGTCACTATACGTCAGACGGACAAGCATACATGCACTCTATTGTGACTAGATGTGCAACATATATGCAAATAGATATGCATAGATGGACAAGGCATGGGGCCAGAGTTGCCGTTGTGTGACACCATGCTCCCATGCCTTGCTCGTAGGTGTATCAATTTCTCTGTTCCATATTTCGCATGGTGTATTGTGTGTGTTACAGGCGCTGCAGTTCTTCCGTTCCTTGGAGCTGTCAGTG